TAATACTTCAGTCAGCTATTTAGTTGAAGTTGCAAATTTGACTTTTGGTCTTGATTTCTCTTGGATCTTGTTTAGAGTTTCTGTTTCTGTAATATCTTTAATATTTTGTTTCTTGCTTTTTATTTTATTTTCTTTTCTCCTTTTCTTTTCTTTTCTGATTTCTTTTTTTCTCTCTTCTGGTTTGCTTGGCAAGTTTAAATTTGACAGATATTTTAAAATATAATATCAGAGTCTTTAGTGCTGATTTGTTTTGCTGCCTTTGTCAAGTTTTTCTTTGTTTTTGAAGTTTTTTGCTTCAATCTATTTCTAACTTCAATTTAATCTCGGTAGCTTGTTTTTTCTTTAGACAAGCTTGCATTTTTTTTTTTGCTTCTTTGGCTTTTCTTCTTTTTTTTTTGTTAGTTTACTGCAGTAGTTTTGATAAATTCTTTAAGTTGAAGTACTATAGACTCTAGGGCTGTTTTGTTATACTGTTTTTGTTAGTTTTTTCTTTGTTCTTGGAGTCTCTTGCTCTATCCTATTTCTAGTTTCGTCTTTATTTTAGCATCTTGTTTTTCTTGTCTTTTAGTAAACTTCTTACTTTGTTGGCTATTCTTAATTCTAATATTGTACTATATATCTCTTCCTATATAATAAAATTAACTAGGTTTTCTTTTTTTTGTATTACTTGATAAAAGCTATGATAATTTCTTTCTGCAAGTGCACATTCTGTATACTCTAATTCTTCTCTGTTATATTATAATAGTTCATCATAAAGATCAATTAATTGGTGATTTGCTAGTCACCTGGTGCATGATCATAGTATAATATAATACAGATCACTATATATCCTGAATGTAGTATTCATTTAAGGAAAACTTTTTTGTACTAAGTCAATTACTCTTGTATATTAAATAAAACTTGTAGAGCTCATCAAGGTGCATCTAATAGTAGTAAGATTATTAAAAACAGTCTAGTAGTTGTTAAGATATCACTAAAAATAATTAGCTAATTATATAAAATTCTATATAAACAATAGTTTGTTTATATAAAATTTTACATAGTTAGCCAATCGTTTTTTTAGCAATATCTTGACAACTACTAGACCGTTTTTGATAATCTTATCACTATTAGATGCATTTTGATGAGCTTTACAAGTTTTACTTAATATACAAGAGCGATTGACTTAGTACAAATAAAGTTTTTTTTGGGTAAACGTTACATTTAGAGTATATGATTTATATAGTGATCTGCATCATGTTATACTATGATCATACACAGGTGACTAGCAAATCACCAATTCATTGTACTATGGCTTCTTCTTCTGTAATAAGTTTCTTCTCAGCAAGATTTGCTATTCTTTTATTTACTCGAGAATCTATTTTCTTATTAGTTATTTGTATTAATATATTCTGAATAATTTCTATAATTGCTTCTTTTAATATAAGCTTTTTTTCAGAATATTCTGCTATGTTTTGCTTTATATAACTTGTTTTTCTATTATTGTTGTTGATACAGAAGAGAATGTCCCAAATTAGGAAATTGATTTCAATATAGTTACACAATTGATTAAAAATCTTTTTATACAGTTTATAATAGTTTTGCGCAAGGTCACTAGGTAGCTTATTTGTATTATGCAATGAACTAAAAAATTTAGCGAATTTTGTAGCTTTAATAATATCTGGTGAATTCACTTGAATCCAATAGCTTTTATATTCTGATTTATCTAATATTTGACTAGTAAGAGAAATCGTAATATAAAAGCTGTTGGATTCAAGTAGATTTACTAGATATTATTAAAGTATGATATGAAAGCTACAAAATTCGTTAAATTTTTTAGTTCGTTGCATAACACAAATGAGCCACCTGGTGACCTTGCACAAAAACTATTATAAACTGTATAAAAAGATTTTTAATTAATTGTATAACTATATTGAAATCAATTTTCTAATTTGGGATATTCTCTCCTGTATATTGTTGGCTGTTGCTGTTGTTATTATTTGTTGCGATTGTTTACTATTTTTGTTTACTTTCGTTATATGGTTTTGCTTATATTTTCTTTGTTTATTTTTTATTACATATTGTAATTCTTGTATCACCAAAACAGATCTGTAATTCAGGGTCAAGGCTAATTTTTCAAAATTTTGCAAAATGCAAAAAAAATATTGATGATTTTAATGACTTCTTTTATTTCTTTGCTGCTTCTGTTCTTCTTACTCAAGTCTTTTAAGAGACTGAATGTTTCTTGTAGTTTTTTTTCTCTTTACTTAGAGCTCTGAGTTGTGTTTTCTAGTAGCCTTTGTGTGTTTCTTGTAGTTTTTATTAATTTTGTTTCTTCAGAAATTTGTGTTTTGATAATCAGCAGAAAGAGTTTTTGAAATTTTTTCTTTAGTTTATAAATAATAAATGCGTAAAAAAGATTTTTAAAATAATTATTTGTTATAAAATTATTAGATATTTAATAATTGCTAAAAAAATTAGATATTTTTTATTATCCTGTATTGTATATATATTTCATTGAACTTGAATATGTTTATAAAATTTTAAACTGAATCTAAACTAAATCTAAACTTAATTTAAAAATTCAATATTGAATCTGAACTAAACTTTTTTTAAAAAAGTTCAAGTTCAAGTTTAGTTCAATTTTAAACTAAATTTGAACTTGGCCAAAAGTTCAATTTAGTTTAGTTTATAAAAATACTATTTTCAGATCTATATTTTTGTTAGATTTACTATATTTATTTTTGTATTTAATTCTAGCTTATTTCATATTTTTTCTAAATTATTGCTAATTTCTATAATTGAATTCTAGTCTTTTTGTTTATTTCATAGCTTTTCTAAAACTTATTGTAAATCTTGTATTTTATTATATTTTCTATATTTAATATTTTTTTTAATTTTATATTTTGCTTTGCTCTAATTTATATATGCCATTAAAATAGGTTTTTTAAAAAACTTATTTTGTCTCTATTAGAGCAAATTGAAATTTTTTTATATACAAGAACAAATTTAATTTAGATAGTTATGTTTTTTATAATTTTGTCTTTTTAAAAAAGTATCAAAAAGTTTTATCTTTTAAGTAAAATAGATCAAAAACAATTTTATCTTCAAAATTTAATTTTAGGTTTTAGACTTTAAAATAATTTTGTTAATAAGTATATATATATATTTTTTTTAGATAATTCTGCCTTTATTATATTTATAAAAGTACTAAAAAACTATATTTTTTGGCTAGTAATTTGGATATAATCTTTTTGTACTATATTCTATTCTAATAAAGACTTACTTGATAAGGCCTAGATGCAATCTGTTAAAGTAATCATTTTACTTCATATCAGATCCTCAACTTATTAAGAATTTGATTTCTCTGATCCTTAGCTAGAGGCTAACATCCCATATTAAGTAGCAAAAAACAAAAAGAAAAACTAAAAAAACAAAACAGAGATATAGAGATCTATAATAAAAAGATACAAACAAGAAATAAAAGGAGTAAAAGAGTAATATGAGCAAAACAAAAAAAATTGTATAATCTAATACTATAGTTATAAGTCTGTAAATAGCTTGTAAAAATTACATATTACTAAATAAACTAGTTTCTACTTTAAATTTATCTACTTAATATATCAAAATAAAAAACTATATAAGAAAACTTCATTAACAAACTTGTAAAGAGGTTGAATACTGTCTTAAAGCATTGTTTATACAAATATTTTATATTTGAGATACATGTGAATCATTGTATATGTTTGTTATCGTTTAATTAATTTGGAAAATAAACAATACCAACTATTTTGGTTCACGTGATGTTAATCTTTGGAGAATAAGCTGAAATGCCTACTTTTTACAAAAAATTTTCTTGAAAAAATTGGTAGTCTAATAATAGAATAAGAGTTTCTTCTGTAAGTTTTATTGCTTGTATTCTTCTACCTTATTTTTATTTATTTTATCTAATAGATTCTCTATTATATATTTTGCAGCTGCTTTAAGTTATATTATTTATTTAATTTTAAAAATTTTTTTCTGTATACTTCACATAACACATTTTTTCTGATGTTATTTTTTTTGTTATACTGTTTTATATATTTGTTTTGTTTTTTTTATTACATATTGTATAGTTGTATTATATCAACAGATCTGCATTACAAGATCAAATACTTCCCCAAAAAATTGCTTGTAAATAATAAAAAACTACTATATTTCCAATTTTTTTTCTATATCTTGTTGGTTTTTGACTTTTCAATTTCAATTTCAATTTTCTAAAAAACAGAGTATTATTTTGTATTTTCTTCTTTACTTAGTTGTATAAGCTTATTCTTTAGTACCATTCTTGAGTTTTGTTATTTTTATGTTTTGTTTTTCTGTAGAAAGTTGAAAAAAAGATAATTGTTAAAATACTAGTAATTGTTAATATAATAATAATTGTTTTGTGATCTGATATATACTATTAAAATATCTATATAATCTAACAAAAAAGGCGATCTAAACTGTAAAATATAATGCTATTTTAATATATATACTTAATTCTAAAATTTAAAATAAATTAATTTGTAAGTTAAAAATAATATAAAGCTAAAGTTTTTTTAAAGTTTATATTTTTATTAGTTTTTTATTATAAACTAATATTTATTTAACAGGTGTGATATATTTTCTAACTGATATATAAATTAGTTAAAAAATAGCCTACCATTTCGGTATAACTGTCGCACTACAACACTATAGCAACAAAATGCTACGTATAGCACTTTAATATTCCCATATTTTATAGTTATTAAAATTTTATGTTTTAATATTTTATAGATATTTTCTTTAATTTTTTTTTTTTTACAAGTATTACTTTACTGTTTTAATAGGTTATAATGTTTCTAGCATTAGGATAATTTTTTTACAATGTTTTGGCATATTTATTTACAATATAAATAATAAAAATATTAAACAAGTTTTTAAAAAATCGCTTAATAACATTAAAATTTTAAATTTTTTGATTGGTCGAACACTGTTAGTCTATAAGATCTATCTCCACTTTAAACGATCTCTCGATTTGGTTGCCTTGCTGGTTGTCCAGGATATGCTGGTGCGGCACTTCCATCAAATTCTCCATAGAAAGAATTCGAAGGAACAACTATATGCCCTGTACCACCAATTATTGCACCACAATCGTTACAAACAGATCGTTGAGTAGCTCCCCCGCACTCACCTAAAAAATTATTAATAATTGAGATTAATAAAGATAAATTGATATATATTCTTTGAGGTCTAACATACCGATATAATAAGGATGACCATTGGGACAACAGAACCAATGACCCGTAACATTATCCCCATCTCCATAAAGTTCCTGAATCTCATTATCCATCGCCTGAATAATTTGTTCCTTTTCTTCTTCTGTAAGCTCATTTTGTTTTTTTTGTGATTTAACAACATTCCACATACGGACTGCTTCCTTTATAAATTTGTTATACCTTCCAGCTGTGTAAACTAACTTTTTGCAACGTGGACAGTCCCACAGCTTAATTACCAGGTGTCCATCTAGATAATTAAATTAATTGATTTGAATGTTTTATAGTTTGAGTCACGCTGAGAAAAGTGATACCAATTCTCGTGCGGTTGGTAAGTTTTCACATTATATGATTCAATAATCCAATTTCTTATAGTTATTTAATTTTTAACAAACTACTAAGACATTTTCGAAAATTGCATCCCATAAAATGAAAATTTACCGAATGCAAATTCTATTGACATCACTCATCCTATGTAAAGCTTTAAGATGATGTCATTAAACAGAACATTATACTTACTAACTGATGGTTTATCATTGAAATATTGATCTAAAGCATCAACCATAAAGACTAGTATGCAAATATTAATGTTAACTATATTATTCACCATTAATTTTAATCTCAATAAATTAGTAAAATAACTATTTACCGCAGCCGCACTCAGGAAGTATATAACACCGTTCTTCATCAGAAAATTCTCCGATTTTTGTTAAAGTTATAGGACATTCAATATTAGGATTGCACTTTTTACAGGGAGGACACGGTTCTCCACAGAGTCCATTACAAGGGTGTCTAAAATAAAATATATAATAATAAATAAGCTGAAAATATTTAAATTAAACCAACTATAATTATTGTTTCTTTACCCGCATTTTAGGGTTTCAGTACATGATTTGTTGCATGGAGGTCGATCACAATCTTCCCAGCATCGCTTAGTGCATTTGGTGTGTTTACACATCAACGGACAATCCTCCAAACATTCAAAACATGGATCATTACATTGAAATGGACACCCGATACCATGTAAACATTTGAAGGTGCATTCTTCCATACATGAAGAGGAATGCTGATCCGGCTCTGCACATCCATTAATACATTTATGCCCACAAACAAGAGTCTTGAGACATTCACGTTTACAATCACTTCTTCTATGAATATAATTTTTGTGTGATGCACATCTTCCTTCGCATTTATGACCACAGGGTAATAAATAACCACAACGCTTTGTGCACTCCGGATTCGTTACAAAACAATCAACGCGAACAACATGTCCGCATGTTGGAATTTCGACATCTTTAGGCCTTTTGCATCTATACTCATCCACATTAAGTCGCTCATGACATGGTACTTTTACGGTATGTCCACATTTCAACATAACATTTATTTCATGATCACATTTCTTGTATCGTCTCTCATGACATTTAATAGTAGTTTCATGGCAACAGTCACCAAACTTATAATGCTTGACCTCTTCTTCGCAGGTACCACAGCTACCCTCTTCATAACATTTGTGGCATTTGCGTTCACAAGGATGTGTACATTCATTAATTAAGTCTTGACAAGGTTGTTTTTTGTTACAATTCCTTATTGGGACTTTTGACTTCCTATGACATATTTCTTCGCACTTGAAACGATTTCGTTCTTGAGAATGCGGGATTGGATGACATTTTCGCGGACATTTATGGCCGCATATTAACATTTTTTCGCAGGGCATCTGAATTATAAACATATTTAAAATTAATAGTAGGCCATGTATATATATATATGGTGGCGAACTAATGAAAATCAAGCAAATCACATTTTGGTTTCTAAACTTTAAACAAAGAACCTGAGCAATTTAGGACATTTTTTGAATTCTACTTGCTTGTAAAAATTAAAAAGTTTCAAGTTATTAAGTTGGATAGATTATCAAATTATTTTAAAGTTTAGAAACCAAACCTGGTTTGCTTGGTTTCTATTGACTCACCCCCGTATATCACAATATTTACCATACAGCCACCGAGAGGAACATATTGCTTGAAATGATCAGGATGGCTAATTTTAGTTTTAACGCCATGATTTTGGCAGCTAAGGATGAGCTCTGATCCATAAGCATTTTCTATATAAATGTAGTTCGGTCGTTTAACAATAAAATGTAATATAAAGAAATAAAGGACTTAACCAAGTTTAAATAAAAAGCTTAGATACATACCATTAATAGTTTTTTTAATGATGTCGGCCCATGGTGGAATATTTTTTAGTAGATCACCATCTCCAAAAATGTATAAACCTCTAGTTGCTCTAGACAAAGCTGTATATACAAGGTCTTTTGTGCTCAATATCGTTAATGCTTCTTTTTGCCATCGTTGCGGAACAGCGACAAGAGAAAGAATGACTATCTTGTTTTCTTCATAGCGATAATCACTAATCAATTGAACATTAACACTTCCTAATTTCTTTTCAGTGACAATTATTTTTTGAGCAAATTCAGGTTCATAATTGTGCATTCCCACTTCCTTTGTTATTGTTTCACTAATTTTTACAGTTTTCTCTTTTATAAGTTCAGGTGCTAATAAACTTTTAATTAATTCCTTTTGAGCAGTAAACGGAGTGAGGATGGTTATATTTCCAGGGTCAAAATCGGCATCTTGCTGGTGAAGGTAGAAAGCAAATTTTGTGACAAATTCAGCTTCAATGGTATTTATAACATTTTTTGATATACTATCAGGAACTTCATCATAGTTCTGGTGATTCAAAAAATAAACGTTAGATGTAGTACCAGCGATTTGTAAATTGTTTTTTAAAAATGTAAAATCATCCGCAATTCGTTTATGAAAAGTACTCAAAAGATTGTTTATTTGTGGATGTACACGAATTTGCTCTGAAAGTCTATAATGTCTACCACCATTTGAAATCCATCGCTCAAATAAAGAATTACCACAACGTCTATTCATATCACCTATCATAACTAAATGTTCAAGGTTTTCGTGATCATTAATAATGCAAGAAATTTCATCTTCTGGTATTTCTGATGCTTCATCCACTATAAAAACAGGTGTTGACGCTGGTGAAGAATCATGAAATAATTTTTTAAGGCACTTGGCGTTCTTCCAAGAAAAACCTATAACCGGGGCACTTTTCATAACTTCGGATAATTTCTGTAATCGTTTCTCATCCATGTTATTGTTTAATTCGATGGCATTTGTGTAAATGTTTGTTATAATCGGATCGTAATAGTTGGATACAATTCGATTAAACATATGCCGATATAATTTACGTTCATCTAGTGATATTTTCCGAATTTTCTGAATATCCCAGATATCTTTAGTAACGTAATGCCAAAATTGATCAATGTCATTGTTCAGATCATTTGGAAATCTCTCAGGTTGGTTTTGTTCATTAAACAGAAACTTCTGATCTTGAGGCAGGCGATTAATTAAATTGTTAATAAATCGTGATTCTTCAATGTTTGGAGAGTAAATATTATCGAGATCATTAGAATCATCATCATCAAATGACAAATTCTTTTCCAGCTCTTCGATTGATGAAAACATTATTTTTGAATAAAGATCAGTTGAAGAGTCAGCAACAAGATTCTCCAGGTTTGAAGATAAGATTTCATGTAAAGGTTTTTTATTTGAAGAAAATTTAAAAGGCCTATGAGTAAGAGATTCATCAAACAATGTTGCAGATCGTTTAAGTCCAAAATTTGTATTATTGTCACTCGACAGCCAAGTCATTAAATCCTTCAGCTCAACATCTCTCGATATATGATTAGTTTTTCTGCTCTTATGTGGCGATAATTGCTTTTTGAAATGATTATGAGCTGATTGAATAAAGCAATAAT